GCGAGTGCCAGGAGCGGGAGCGGGAGCGTGCCAAGGCCAGCGCGGGATGAGCAACTCAAGATGGGGATTGGTGAATGGGCAAACCCTCCAAAGTCCTTGTGGTTTCTCAGAACAACACGATCCCAAAGATGGCCTTCTGGCCTTTTGCCAGAAAATGATCTATTGGATTCTAAGGGTACTCTAAGAAATGCAAGCCCATTTGGTTGCCAAAGGGTTGGGACCCTTCCAAATGATTGGTGGTGGGTTGGTCAGTTGACTTCAGTTGACTTCAGTTGACTTCAGTTGACAAAGCGTACGGAATACATATGTATATACATATATACATACATATATATATATATTAAAACTAAACAAACACAACAAACACATAGAACCAAACCGTTCAAACACGTCTTTTTAGCATGGGTTATTGCCCCGAAAACTATGGGGGTGAAATCCCCAAAACTATGGGGTGGATTCCCCTTTGTATGGGTCCAGATGGCTGCGGGCCTTGGGACGTCGGGTTGCCAACTCAGTCCCCTAGCCCCGAAGGCCAGGGCTTGGCGCAACGTGTCGAGGCCAAGGCCAGGGAAGAGTCGGAGTCGGAGGATTCCGAGGAGGAGTCCATCCCGAAGGCAGGGGCAATCCCGAGCGCCGGGGAACTGGGCCGTTGATGGGATATCACATTTCTCTAAAATCAATACATAAACAAGTAAATAAAGGAATGATCAAATAAACATAAGTATGAACATGAATATATATATATATATATTGTATATAGTATATATATTATATATTTATATATAGTATATTATATATATATATATACATAGTATATTATATATATATAGTATTATATATATGTATATATGTATGTATATGCTAGGCCCCCCCCAAGAAAAACTACATTGTGCAATCAAGAACCGCACATGTACAGTTCTTTCCACTCAAATACTTGCCCGCTTGAGCATGTTATTTTGCGCATTAAATTGGCAGTCATTGTGAGGGCAATTCAGACATCATTCGGTACATGTATTGTATGTAACACACATGGGCCCAATGAGTGGTGCAAGTGCATGCCGTGAGTACATACAGGCACATGATTGCTTTGCGACCATGCTGCAGCTTTTTTTAGTTATCAACAATCACATTGCTGGCATAGTGTGCCGATTAAGCATAGCTGCATTGTTAATATGCTTTGTCAATGTGTTGGGATCCGCCGCAATCACTCACAACTATCCAAACCAGACTGATATCTATGGTACCGCAAGGGATTCTTGTCCAAGGCAACGGCATCCATGCAAAACTCATATGCCTTCCAAGTATGTGGAGCATGTCAAGTCCGTGGTGAGAGGTATGGCATTAAGGCTGCAGAGCACAGCGATTGCATGTATTTGATGGGGCATGGTATCAAGTATATCATGCACTTCAGTCTTAGTGTAGCAGCATTCAAAAGACGCGGAAATGGACTCCTGCTCTAACAGTCCGACATGGCATTTAGCCAGTATGACAGGGTTAATTCCCGGTTCCTAAAAGGGCATCTGACATCCTGCGCTTGCGATCAGAGTGTTCTTGCAGCCCAAGAAAGGTTGCGCATGTTGCGCAACATCTTTCCAGGCTTTGCAGCCGTTTGGTTTTGCACCGGTTTGGTTGGGGGCTCCTCAGAGAACAGTGATCCGAACCAGGACCCCGACAGGTTCCATGTGAGGTGTGGGGAGGGTATGCTCCCCGCAAGAAACGCGGAAGCTTACGGGGAGGGTTTCTGAGGATTCTTTGCTGAACCAGTTTGTCGTACACTTCTATGATTGGTAGAAGGAATATAATTTGTCTTTTCGAGTCTGGATGGTGAACCATGAGCGAAGTGAACTTGACATTGCACGTGTGGCATGTAAAGAGGACTGTCACATTGTTTTAGCTGCAAGCAAGGAATGGCCATTCATCCTGCAGCGCAATATTCCGGATTGCTGCTTTCTCTTAGATGGCATTCTGACTCACTTCTGACCTTATCACTGCCAGTTGCTCCATGCTGCCCGATGCACGTTTAGGAAACCACATTCTATCATATCCAGCCAGCCACTGATGGCATTGGATACGTTTTAGGTTTCTTTTACGTACGTGGGCAACCAGAGCCCAGCATCCACAGGCTACCTCAGAGGAAGTCTGACCAACTGTACAAATTGGAGAGACCCTGCATGTTTGATGTCCAGACATTGTTTGGGAATGTCATGTTGAACGGTTGCATTGGACGAAGGAACAGACATTCCACCATGAAAGCAATTCTCGCTCGGGACGGCCTTTCTCACTGCCCTGGTTTGTGGCCCCCGCCAGACTGGAAGCTTTTCTCAAGTTCTGGAGAGATTGGGAGCTCTCGAGGGGTCGATTTGCAGGCGAAGTCAAAGAAGCCGGCGCCGAAGAAGGAGGAGCCGAAAAAGGAGGCGAAGAAGGAGGAGAAAAAGGAGGAGAAGAAGGCCTCGGCAAGTTTCTCTTGCGAAGCTTGCTTCGACTTTCGCACGCTGGCGGTTCAGTCAAAAGCCGCTGCTTTTGGCGTCGGCTCAATACAAGAAAGCTGGTTTCAGGATTGGCTGAGTGGTTTGGATGCTGCTTCAAGGCAATCGATGTGGTGGCATCCTTCCCCTTGCCCATTCAGCTCCCCATCAGGGTGCCTCTTTCGCACTGGCCGGGGGCAATTGAATCGACAGGGCTTTTGGGCCATTCACATGTGTCCTGAAATTGGGAGACAGAAGGTAAAGCTCATCTGAGTATTTTCAGGTTTGAAGGGAAATGAAGCGAACATCCACCATGTTTGAGGTCTCTCTATTTTGAGGCCATTTGTGGCCTGCCCTCGTCTTGGTTGAAATGGCCTCCCAGCAATCCGTGGAGGCGCCTGCGAAGAAGACCAAGGAGAAGGAAAAGGCGAGGGGGAGAGCGAAGCACCCAGAGTAAGGTGCGTACGTATGCAGAACCCACATATTTTTGTGGTAGGTTTGTATGTCAATGTATTTGTTTCTATCACGTGTTACTATACAAAAAAAAATACACATACGTATATCATGTGTTACATCTGTACAAGGGCACACATATATACACAAGCACACGTCAAGACAGTTAGTACAGGTGTGTATACAGTATTTCGCACAGCTGTTCATTTTGCTTTCCTGCACGGAGGTGTTGTAAGCTGGCCGTTCTGCAGCTGAGGGTACACTATGGGGTCCTCGATGTAGGTAGACAAGTTTAGGAGTCAAACACCGGACAATGAACTTTGTTTCGGCAAGCTAGGATAATTCAACAGGATAGCGGCAGATGGCGATTTAGCAGGATGTGTGGTACTTTCTTTTTTGTGCATGAGTCTCATGAGTCAACATAAACCTTTGGGCTTCATCTTCAGTCAACATACAATTGAGCATCTTTACGACGGGCGTAGCCACGTCGATGCACATGATCACTTGCATGAACCACCTGTTGCCCAACCGCACCGCAGTCAACTAAAGGCGTGACATCTATTGAAAGGGTTGCGGGCGTGTACTCCCTTGAAGTCACCATTGAGGGAGTGAGCGATGCTGACCTGACAAGCATTCAACGCATCAGCGGCGCGTTGGGTGTCAGGAGCCAGAGGAGAAGAAGAAGGTTGTCAAGAAGAAGAAGGAGGATGGTCTTTGAAAACGGTCTGTCAGTACTCAATGCCATTCCTGGGGGGCCAAACCTGAATTTGCCTAGTTGCCAAGTTGTCCGTTGCAAACATGGCATCTCACGGAGTCGGACCTGCAAGTTGGCTACAAAAGGTCCCAACGCCTGTCACGGCCATAGCGCAGGGAGAGAAAAAGAGATAAAGTTTTCAAGCAGCCCATTGCTAGGTGTTCTCGGATGGCTTTATAATGCGTTGTCTCTTGTTCCAGCCTTGTTTGGGCTAACGGTTGCTCTGTTTGGTCACACAGCAAAAACCCATCCTCCAGAGTCACTTTGCGTGCTGATCGGGCTACTTCCAGAGCCGAAAACCCATCCGCTGGTGTCGATCGCCAGGAGGCAGAAGAGAAGCCAAAGGTCAAGAAGGCAACATGGGATCCACAGGGGTCGGGGGCGAGGTGTGGAGCGTGGGAGGGGGTAGAGGGTGTGAGGGGTGAGAGCTTCTCTACTTTGTTCCCATCTGCTGTTTTGAAAAAGTTTTCGCAAAGGGTTCCGGTGCCCGCGTCGAAAGATCTACTTGAGTTTTTTTTCTCCCCCCCTTTTCTTTTTCTTTTTCGGAAGATACTTTTCTTGGGGTTGTTTACAACGGGAAACCAAACCAAGCCGACCTCTCCGAAGCAACCACGCTCTTGTCAGCAATCGAGCCCCAGCGTGTCCAGAGCACTGCGCCTGTCACGAAATCAAGGAAATTCTCCCGTTCAGGGAATAATCACAGAGGGATATCTTGCCGTCAATTTTCTCGCATGGGCGCTGAATATGTCTTTCTGTGGCATGTGAATGCCTCCGTGGCTACGCTTGGTCATCGTTGCAATTTGGGCAAGCTGTTATTACTATCGCAGGGTTTTCCCCGTTTTGAGACGTTCAACCAAAGGGTTGTCCACACACCCACACCAAAAGAGACTTATGCAGTGGCCGCTGCTTTGGAGTCCCCTGACGTTCTGCAGCCTTCGTTGAAGCGGGATGAAGCCTGCAGAGACATTTTGTGGAGCACAGGTTTTCTCGTACTGGACATGGCAACATGGAGGGTAAAATTGAGGCTCTTTTGGTGGATGTCATTTACATGGTGATACCTCAACTCATGTCCACCCACCCATTCTAAAGGTGTTCCGCCACATGGTGACACCATCACGCATTCCAAGCATTCGAAGGGAACCTACAAATGGTCCACTCGCCCTTGGCTTCGAGAGGACACCGGGCAGTTTTCCTTTCGGGCCAAAGAGGCGGGCTCTGAGCCTGGGATTTGCTAGGTGGCTGAGAAGCCCAAGGTGACCAAGAAGAAGGAGGAGCCTGAGAAGGCCACCGGATCCAGCGCATGCGCGCCATGTCAGGTTGCGGCAAGCGCACGTGAAATTGGACACTCTGGGTGCTTGACGGCTTTCGAAGCCAAGCTCACTGGGATTGGCCAACATGGCGCCCAGGTCCCCCGGCTTTCTCTGAACTTGCAGCGTGAAATCTCCTCCTGTTCGGTGAAGCCACTGCAAAAGAGGGTGGCTAATCTGCATCATTTGTCTTCTGATTTGCTGGTTAAACTTACCAAATCACCATTTAGACCCAGCAGCAGCCCTGTTGGCTGTTGCCCGTAACAATCCAGGAACGCGTGCAAGCGCGGCGCCGCATGTTCGAGCGCCCCCACTCTCCGACTCGTGGGAAGCAAAGCAGTCCGGGCAGCTGTTCTTGTTCATGCAAATGGCTGTGGGTCAAAACCAATGGTACCCATCTTAGTCTATTTTAGCGCGGATTGGGATGTTCACTGGGGGGTATGATTTGGATTTTGACCCATGGTCAAATGAAGACAAGCTGCCAAATCACCCCGCTTGAGTTTGGACGTGCTCTCCTCCCGGCGAGGCGTGCATTTGTGTTTGATCAGGAAGCATCCCCAAAAAGCGTGTGGCGTCCTCGCGAATCTCACGCAGACAAAACCGCAGCACTCAAAAGCGCGGGAGAATATGGCGGTGACTTTTTTGGGAGGTGCCCTTTTTTGGTGGTTTTCAAAGACAGACTAAGAGGACACCCACTATTTTGCGGGTCCTCTAACAAGAAGACACCACACCCATATGTCGAATCCCGGGGGCCCCGCTTCAATTGAGCGAGCATCAAACAGGCGCATGGGCCCTGGGCACCAGTGGTTTCCGCAGAGTTCCCACGTCTTTTTGCTTGGAATCAGCGGCGGCGCGATTTTCCAACCGGCAAAGGGGGCCCCCGGATTTCCGGCCAAAGTGGGAAGCGACAGGCGAAGCCAAAGGCCAAGGAGGATAAGGCCGAGAAGGCGGAGAAGAAGGCGCGAGCGACGGGGACCCGCAAAATGCATCTCCAGCGAAGGAGCATGTCACCTTCGCCAGCTTCACGTTTTTGTGAACTGATCCTCGGATGTATCCTTGGAATTCGGGGCCTGAATCAGTGGAACCCATGCCCTTTCATCTTCCTTCCGAACCTTTTTTGGTGGAAAGGGGCCTTCGGGGTCTTGCGATCTCTCGTTTTCGGGTTTGCGCGGCGAAAGGCCGGTTCGCAGCGGATGGCTGCCGGATAGATGGGTAGGGAAGTTGGTTGGGGTTGGTTTCTTTCTTTCTCAAGCACCGAGAAGTCTCTGCTAATGCATGGGGAGCGGTCACTCAACCCTCTTGAATTTGGTTGGGGTTGGTTGGTTGATGAAACAATAGGCGGCTGCTCATTCAAATCGCTTGACTTTTATAAAGCATGAAACAAATCAAAGCGTCTCATTGATGTGCGCCGGGGCAGGAACACTTCTCGGAGGGGACCCAATGTGGCCCGCATTTCTGTTGGAAAGCTGTGATGAAGACTGGCCAATGGCCGTTCAGTTCGCAGGTGTCTGAATTTCCAAAGCGGGGCAAAGTAAGAGGGACCCGCACCTGTCAGCCAAAAAAGCCTCGGGCAGTCGGGTCACCATTCATACTGAAGGCTTCGTATCCTGATGGATTTTCATCTTCATTGTAGACTGCATGCTAGTGCGAGCTCGAGATTCGAGCTCTTGTAAAGCGGGACCACATTTTTTTTTGGCCTTGAACCTGTCCGCCGGACCCCAGGCTTGACACCTGCCTCTGGCTTCTTTGGTTTTGGTCCATCCGGGCCGTGCGCGAAGGCGCCGCGCGCCGAAAGCCGCTCCGCGCGCCGCGCTTCGCATCCGATGGCGTCAGGTGGCTGAGAAGCCGAAGGCCACCAAGAAGAAGGAGGAGCCGGAGAAGGCCGGCGGGGAATTTGGTTCAAGAAGCCCCTGTGCTTCCGAAAGTTTTCCCAGGGGACAAAAGGGGGTGGGCGGGTGTTGTTGTTTTTTGCAAAAGCAGAACCCCGCATGCAAAGCCTGGTTGCAGGTGGTCAAACCGAGACTGGATGAGCCGCTTGTTAGCAGTTCTTTTTTTTCGATTTCGGTGATGGAAGCTTGCATGAAGCCAACAAACAGAAATCAGCTCCACAGGTTGCTTTCCTGCAAACACATTCTCAACAGCCCCTTTTTGCGTTCAGGTTTCATTCACCTCACACGGACCTCAACCGAGCTTGCGGCGCGCAGGCCGAGAAGGCCAAGAAGACAGACAAGGCCAAGGCCCAGGCCTGGATCGTGGGCTTTTGCCATCAGCTTTCTTTTTTGGGTTCTGGTTTGATTCTTTAGCAAGCTGATCCGGCCATGGGGCAGAACCTATGGCTCCATTTTGGGGTGGATGAACATCCATTTGCCACCTATTTTGATGTTCACCAGGCGTTTTTTGGGTTTTGACCCACAGCCATCTGGGGTGGGATAGAGCGAATGATGAAGATCCCTTACCTGGGGATTCCTTATTCCCCTGCGAGTTGTGTACCACTTGCCCAGATCAGATGAGTGAGACACTCAGCCAACTGGCTCTTTTGAAAAGGGATCCATGACTCTTGACTGCTTTAGCCTCCGGATTGCCGAAGCAATGAAGGTATGTGCCAGATGGGAATCCCGCTTTTTGTGCAGCCACTGCTTGGTGAGTGCTTCAGAAGCCGAGTGTGAGAAGATCCACATTCTTTGAGTTTCTCCAGAGCTGAGCCATGCGGAGTACATGCATCTCACAGGCGAGTTTGGCAACCTACGCCATTTGATTCTTTCCTGCATTCAACTATGGCTGATTCGAGGTTTTGACAGAGCAGGTTTGTTCGGTCTTCCTTCGGGTTTTAGTGTTTGCATCAGTTCTTCGATGGATTCTGGTACGCGCGCAGAGTTCAAGATGGCCGGCACCCACTCGGCCACTCGGGTCATACTGTCAATAGGAAACACGCAAAATCACAAAGGTTGGCTTCCTCATTCGGCTGCCATGCGGTTAAACGTTGCTGGTGCATGGCTCAGGTTATGAGCTTCCATCTAGGATAGTGTAGAATGATAGGGGCCTTCCTTATGCACATTCGTTTCCGGCGCTGGGATGAGTCCCATGTCGCCCTTGAACGGCTCCCAGACTGGGTGGGGTGCCTTTGTGGAAGGCTTTCCAACAAAACTACAAGGACAGGAGGGCACACACACACAAGCGCACACAAAAACACAAAGATCCAGCCCAGTAGCTTCGACTTGGGTATGAGTCTTCACGGGGCCTTTTGGTGGACATGATTTACATGGAGATTTGTGTCCACCAAACATTTTGGAGGCCGTTCCGACCATGAACATGTTGATTTGAGTCATTGTCCAAACCCGGTAAAAGGGGATCTACCCAAAACCTTGGCAAAGAATTAACCATAGGTTTCTTTAAAACACCTACGGTTTTGACTGCCCCCAACGTTCTACATATCTAAGCCCCAAGCCCTGAACCCAAGCTCGTCTCTCTCCAAACCCTCAAGGGGCAAGCTCAAGGGTATCCCTTGGTTTGTGGCTCTTCCTGTTAGGCTCTTCCTGTTCGGTTCGGAGGGTAGCCATAAAGCGATGCACAGGCGGGTGAGGCGGCCAAGAAGGCGGTCAAGGCGTGTTCGGTTGGCAGGACACACGTGGCGGTTGGCATTTGCAGCCATAGTAACCCAGGATATTCAGGGGTCATCATTTTGACTGTTTCTGGGGGTTTTAACCCACCACTTAGGGGGCGACTTTGATCATGGTAGAATAATGGGGCCAGATATTGGTGGTCTGCGGATTGACCACAAGCTCAAAGCAGGGCATACCCCAATTGTACCGTGTCTTTCGGGGAAACAAGCAGTCCTGTCCGTTCTCGCATAGGGGGGAAGGGGGGGGGGGCAGAAATATTTGCAACCGTTTTGGCGGGGTAAGCCTAAAGGAAAGCATTCCGTTTTTGGGATTCTCTGTGTGATGCTCGTGTATGTATAACGATGTATAGTTTTACTCTATACTCACCCTCCTTGTGGAATGGGTTTGGTCTATTCTTGGTGTGCAGCGGATATAGGGTTGGTTCATGGTTGGCTAAAGGTGGCGTAGTAACCATTGTGGTGGCTTTCACTGTCAACGGCTTTTGGGAGCTCCGCGTCATGAGAATGCCATGACCCAGTTTTGGCAAAGCACAAGACCCTTTTCAGATGAAGTGCTGAGTGAGCATTTTGAAGGCCCGCAAACTTACGCATGCAAAGCATCTGGCTTCTGAGACTTTGGTGGTTTTGAAATATGATGTTCTGCCGCATTGGCCCGTTCAGGGGCCATACTCCTTCCATTCATGCAGATAGACACACACACACACACACCTCACCTCTCACGAGGTGACACGACTAGTGGAGCCCATTGTTTCCAGTCAATTCAAGGTGGCATTGGTAGCTGAACTTGATGGACATACTCATTTGCATTGACCCAATCGCTGTTTGGGTTCCATGTTAATCTCCAGGAGTTCTCCACGACACGTGTTTGTTCAGTGCTGTTGGCTTGACTTTGGTTAGATGTATGTTTGGTGTGGGCCTGGCAAAGGCTCTAGCAGGGGCTATTAACCGAATGCAAGGTCATTGGCGCACACCCAAGCAAATCACCTTTTTTGACAGTGGGTTTGCAAAGCCAGGCGCCAAGCAAGGGCTCTCGCAACAGGTCTAGAAAGCCCAGCTTGCAGTGGGGCACCCCTTCACCACGTCCTCTTCCCGGCGTCAGAAACGCGCTCGCCGTAAGGCCACCATTGCCAAAGAGAAGAAGCCGGCGAAGGAGCCCAAGGCCAAGGCCAAAGGCGCTTTCGCGCTTTCGGCCACGGCGCTTCGAATCGCTTCGCCTCCGGGCGATTCGTGCGTGAAGGGGAAACACCAAAACAAACCAAGGGGACACAAATCCGTGAAGGGGAAACACCCTGAAATAGAATCTTGAGCTGATGTCACTGACGTCCACCGGCTCCGCGCAATTAAGCAACATACCCAATGTGTTGTGCACGCAGAATTACCTCTGCGGAGGCGACGTTGCGCTTGTAGGCCTAGTTCAACGATATGCCTCGACAAGGACTTTTCGGTTCAATGAGTGACATTTGGGATGCAGGATGGTGTTCCAACCCAACTAGACCAAATCCCCACTTCCCCGGTCCCCCGACTCTGATAAACACCGAGTCGCTTTTGACGGCCAGGAAAGGTGAAGACCACGAAGAAGAAGCAGCCAGCGGCCCCAGTAGCTTTCGTCCCATGTCGGCCTGGCCTTTGCAGAGTGGCTCAAACTTTGTCTCCCGAGCCTATCCATAAAAACACAAAGCCCTCGCCAAGCTCGCAATCGGTCGGAGGCCTGGCAACTTGAAGGCCTCAAATATTAATGCCCGAAAGATGCTTTGGGCAGGCCCGAACGGGCGTTTCTTTGTTTGAGGTTTGGTATCCATGTTTTTCTTGGTCGCTCGAGGTTGACTCAGGACGTCAGAACAAGTGCAGGGGTCCATATCGAGGCAAACGCGGCTGTTTTCTCCCCATGTTCGGGTTTTGGTCGTTTGATCTGTGGCACAAGTCTTGTGCTTGAGCAGGGAGTCCTCACGGGTGGCCAAAATTTTCAGAGACCGAATTCTGAGCCTGAACACATCGTCACCTGGCCTCAAACTCATGGCAGGTCACCTCTTTGGTGCTCAGAGCATTGTTGAAGGCCGAGCCAACCTTCAAGCCATCCACCTCACTTAGGTCCAGCGAAAGCGACTCCTCTAGCAGCGTGCGCCCCTCAGTGGGAGCAAAAGCGAGAAGGCCTCGCCAATTGGCCCTCCCCTCACTTTTCCCAGCTTTTCCTCCATCTCTACTTCAACGAATCACCTTCTTCCAACGTGCTTTCCCTTAAGGAGAGCCTCCAAATGAACGTGGAAGGTCCTACATAAACAGTACCTCTTCCCATGTGTGCTGGGAACAAATCCATTTGTGCGTGTTTTTCTGAGGGCGCCGCTGTTGGCGGGGATTTCCCGAAAACAGCCAAAGGAAAATCACCCCATGGAGGTTCCCCTTTGGAGACACGCTCATTTGGGGTCCATGTCACCCGCCCAACGCGCTGGATCTATCCAGGGCTCGGAGTCCGGCAGCGGCTCGTCCTCGTCCTCGAAGAAGCCGGCGGCGCCGCTGGGAAAGGAAAAGACGGAGAGCCCCCAACCCTGCAGTGAAGTCCCCCTCAACCCTCCGGTTGGTCCTCTTCTTTTTTTTTGTCTTCTTCTCCCAAACCGGGTTTCTAAAAGGAAAAGCAAGTAGAGAACAAGAGCGCCACTTTTTGTTTCTTTTTCTCATGGACCAAGGGTGAAGACACAGGGGTGGGGGTGCATAGGTGAGAAGGGCGGTGTGCTGGACACTTGGCGGTTTGTATAGTCAGCCCCGGCAATTTCTGCGGTGCAATCCCGGCGCATGTGCAGGAGAATGAATGAAGCCAACTAAGAAGGGAAATACATGCAGTCATGGGGTTACTTATCCGGGGTTGCCATCTCACGGATTTTTAAGTTTTTTGTTATCCGGGGTTGCCATCTCACGGATTTTTAAGTTTTTTGTTGATGTTTTGACCTTCTCCCCTGATTGGTGGCAGGGCATCCATGTGGGCTGTTTCGTTGATTGGTTGTTGAATTTGCTCATACTCTGTCATGCTTGTTGTTGCAATGTTCCTCAGGTAAATACCCGAGAATGTCTCCATTCCCAACTTTGGCCCTCATCGAGGCAAATTTCATTGGTCTACTTCTTGTGGTAAAACTAGCTTACTATGATGTCGGTCCTTTACCCTTATTCCAGGAATTTGGAATCAATGTCACATTTGTTCCCATGTTGAAGAGAGTCCCCCTGCTACGCCGTTCCGCTGTAGTATCACTTGCCCCACGTCATTCTCATTTGCAGATCCATTTTCCTGCCGTCCAACCCACCAAAGGTCCGAAAGAACAAATCGGATTCCACAACCCCCTGTCATGTTGGATAGGCGTGCATCTGAATCTGAGCCTCAGAGTTCATCCCTTCTCATTTGAAAGCAGACAACATATTAAATGTTCATTCCGCTGTTGCCCGAGATCAACTCCAAGGAGTATCTGCTAACATAATATTTGTTTTGGGCTTACCGCTCAGACTTGGAGCGCACCCACCACTGAAGGGAGAGAGAGAGAGAGAGAGAGAGAGCGAGAGAGAGAGAGAGAGAGAGAGAGAGAAAGAGAGAGAGAAAGAGAGAGAGAGCGAGAGGGGGAGAGGGGGAGAGAGAGAGACAGACTCTGGAGCGGTAAACTGCCAGTACCATTTTTCTAAAGGCTCTCAGTGAAGGCTGACCTACACAGCTGCTGAGGCTTGCAAAGCCTTCAGGAACATCAGAGCCACTATATTCTGGGCACCTTGAGCAGGGTGGTACAAGACGGATGAATGGGAGCCTTAAAGAACTTTGGAGTTTCTTAATGAGGAAGCCCAGACTCTTCTCTGCTCTGACAACTTTCACTTCAGGTAGGCCTGTTCTAGGCTTGTGAACATGCCATCGCCCAAGGAAGGCGCGCTGAGCGTGGCGAGCCCAGTGAGGAGTCTCCCCCATTCTTGTCTTGAGGTCATCAGTTTGCCAAAATACAAGAAGCTCACCTGAGCCACAATCAAAAACCCGGGTAGATGAAGGTCAGTGTTGGCCACTCCATAAATAGGTGCGGCCGCCTTGGTAAATCTTTACATGGGTTTTTAGTTCAACATTGTTGTACCAGGCTTTGATTATGACTCACCTGGGGATAAAATCACTCACGCATGATGATGATACATATTCCTCACAAGGGGTTCCAGTATTTCGGGTTTGGGAATTAGTACTTTGACCGGAAGTCGGTCATCCCTGTGTTTACCATCAAAGGCTTTTGGTCATTTTGCAGTTTTCAGCTAGGCTTACCCACGACTTGCTTTGGCGGTTTCGGTGATCATTGAGAAGTGCGTGCAAACAAACTCTGCTCTTCATCCAGTTGCACAAATAAGAGGGAGTTACCCTCTTCCCACCAATCATGGATGTGGATGGGATGGTTTTAGAAGACTACCATCCTCTTGAGAGGCCCCTTGTCCACTTCCATTGGAAAAGGAGTATTTTCTCAGCTTGGGCATGTTCGGTCACCACCTAATATTTCTCCCTGCAAGTCTCGAGCCATTTCCGGAGCTTGTTTCTGTCCTTGTTTTTTCCCTCCATTCTTCTGGGCCAAAGGTGAGTGGAGCCTCGGCACCCAAAGCGGGAACACTGTCGGCAAGTAGCTGAGGGTGAAAGGCTCTGCACACGTGAAATGCACGAAATGCATGAGGGGCAAGAACGTTGAAGGGTGGCAGGGAGGGAACTCAGCTCACTCGTGAGCCGCTGGCTGCAAGGCCCCCTCTTTTATTGCGGGTTCTGAGTTCTCCCACTGCACCCTGGAGTGGGACGAAAGTGGCTAGGCATCAAAATAGGCAGCAACATGATTCAATTTGTTGTTGCGGACTCAGACACCATTTTTGCAATTTTTGAATTTTGTTTTTGTGTTGTTTTTTGCGGTGGACTTGCAATGAAGAGACATGCCCGTCAGATGTTCCATTCAGCGCACTGAGGCAGGTGAGTTTGTTGCCGAGTGAGGGCCATCGGCGCTAAGAGTAGCGCCAGGCAACCAGACGGCCCATGCAGAGGCTCCCCTGATACGGAGCGAAGTTCTTGTTCGAGTGTGGTGTTTGTCTCGACATGGTTTCCTTTTTTGGGATGCCAAGTCTTCTTTGAGATAAAGCACACCACTCCTTCTCTATTTGTTGCCTTCCTGTTTTGAGACACTGGCGATACCCGCAGGCAGGTTTGCAGGATCCTTGTCCGGCAGGGCGTCTGGATCGGGCGCGATTGCCTCGAATCAGCTCGGGGTCGGATGTAAGGATTAAGCTAGCCATCGGCGATCGAGAAAGTCCGCGAGTCACGCTTTCACAACGCATGCAGGGCGAAACCTCTTGTTTGTGGTGTAGTGCTCTTTTTCGGTCCGAATGGGGAATCTGCAATGACCGGGAGGTCAGGGAGGCTCGCAGCTGCAGAAGCGCACCTTTGCGCTGAGATCGAATGTCCACGCGCCCAATGGCGCGGTCGCAACTGTGGCTCGGTGTCGAGCGGACAAAGGGGCCCCTCTGTCTAGGGCCATGGTGGTAGCAGTGGATCAACAGTTGACATGGGCTAAAAACCTTTCTCAACTGCTGATCCCGTTGCTGATGTGCCGTGGCTCTTGCGGGCTGATGTGAAAGTGCTATGCCTAAGTTGGGGAGCTCGCGTACCAACTGGTTTGTTCCCTGAAGGGTGTGACCCCTTTTTTGGGTTGGGGGGGGTGGGGCCTCTTCCCCCTTTTCATTTTCTTGAGGCCTTGTTTTCGGTGTTGAACAACAGGACAGTTTCAAACTCTTGCCACAAATTTGGCAAGCTTGATTTTTAGTTTGGACAAGTTGTACAGTTGTTGTGCAAATATCTTGCATGCATAAGCTCGGCTCCAAATAGGAAATTTTGATACAATGGGGCGCTTCGCCACGTTCCGCGGTGTGTGAGCTATGGATTTCTGACATGTTCTTGAGAATTTCGGTTCGACTTGCTGCGTCGCATTGAAGAAGGAATTTACATCTCCATTTGACTTGCTGGCATTATTTGATACAGATGCAGAGGCCAGAGATCTTTTGCGTGATATCTTTGGAGAATCTATGTCCGTGGCGGATCGTTACCGTGAGGCGGAGATTCTTATCAAATGGAATCAATCACTTGCGAGGCAACGTGAAGCTGAGTTGAGGAGAATTCGCGACCTTGCCAAGAAGCCCCGGCTGGAGTTACCAGTCAGGGCTAGTTCAGTTGAAATTTATGATGACTTTCTGAACAGGTCGGTTGAACTGAAGAGATCTTTTCACAAATCACTGGCGCGGCAACTGCGTGCACATCCGCTTTCAAGCAAACAAGAGCTGGAGGTTTTGCAACACAACAAGTGGGCTGACATTTTGGTGGGCTATATGGTGGAAAGCAATTTGCCGGTTTGCGAAGTTGCAGCTAAGACTTCCAACAGCGCCGAGGTCCTCAGAAGGTCTTTGGGAAACCGCCGCATGAAAACCTTGAGGGCGAGAGCACGTGCGTGGTCCAAGGTCAGGGATTGGTTGCTTTTCATTAAAGGAATCCCTTTTCTTGGAGGTGTCGAGGATATGCTGGATTATATTTTGCACTTGAACCAGGAGGGGCCCACTTTGGGCCGCCTCATCGACGCAAAGGCATCTCTGGCGGTTCTGGAGGAGGCTGGTCAAGTGGGTCCTGAAGACCGCATTTCCTGCAACAAGCTTTGGCTGCGGGCGTGCGACTCTCTGGAGCAAGAATTGCATGGCCGTGCGGGTCCAGCCCACAAAGCACCTCCTCTGACCATTATTGGTCTGGAACTGGAAGTAATGGGTACGGACAAGCCGGAGTATGCCAGGGCGTTATGCTGGATTATACTATTAGCAGTCTGGGCATGCATGCGTTTGTCAGATTTTGATGGGCTGGACCATTCGAGGCTGACTTTGTCTACTCTGGGTCTCCGTGGGTATTTGGTGCGCACCAAAACGACAGGCCCAGGGAAGAAGGTTCGTGAAGTTCCTATTTATGTTAAGCAGACAGCAACCCTGGCGGGTACTAGCTGGCTATGCACGGGTTTCGATATCTGGGAAAGGTACAAAACCTGGTATCCCAAAAATATCTTCTTGATGAGGCCGCAGGCAAACTGGAATGATCCAATTCGGAAGTACATGGGTCCTGAACATTTTGCGGGTTGCGTGAGATCCCTGTTCTTGAAGCTTGAGGTACCTCACCGTGTTCGCCTGTCGCGGACCTGGAGGCTCAGGGACGGAGAGATGTTGTTAGACCAGGACTCAGGTCACTCGATGAGACACTTCTTACCCACCGTTTCTGCAGGCATGGGTGTTCAAAAGGAGCAGAGAGATTTCCTGGGCAGATGGGGTATTAACCTACATCAGTCAAGTGATTATGTATTATCTTCAATGCAGAATGTTCATGAGACACAGGAGCTCGTCTGCCAAGGCCTTTGTACGGGTGAGCCGGGAGGATGCGCTCCGGCAGCTGGGCGAATGGATTGATGCCAGAGGTGGGGACTCACACCCACTGGTGCAAAAACACAAGGTTCTGAAGAAGATTGGGTCCATGTTCACTCTGGTGCAAATGTGGCCCCCGATCCTCGATCAGCAGGAGATTGACGTTGAAGTCAGTTAGAGTTGAGGAGCCCGTGTCTTTGCCAGACAAAGCAGAGGACTCAGAGGCAAAGCCGAACTCCTACTTTGTGACCATTAGCAGGAGAACGGGTTTCCGCCGCCTGCACAGACGCAACTCTTGTGGGGTTGTTTGGGCGGGGTGCCACAAAGTTGAGTTTATGGACAAGATCACTAGTGGTGTGGCTGATGCAGTCTGTCGGGACTGCGCCAAGAAGGCGGGCCTGAAGATCCCGTCAAGCGGGTCTAGCAGTTCGCGTTCGTCCTCTTCCACAGAGGAGAGTGAGCATGACACGGATCGCTGAACCGAGTCAATAAAAAGCCCAAGGGTCAGTACGCATTGTCAGATGCCCAGGGGTCAGTTGTGGACTCTCGAGTCATAGATCAGAATGGCATGGCAGCCCATGGGTCAGATCGCGCCATCGGTTCAAGCCCACGGGTCAGTGTGGATTCTTGTCAGTGCTTGTTGTTTATTAAGGGGTTTTGGTTGCTTGCTTCTTGAGCTTGGATTGCGTTCTCCAAAAAAATTGAGGTACTCCATGTTGGCCCGGGTCACGCAAACCGGATTCCGTTAGTGCTTGGGCAAGCAGCCATGGCCTTGACCCCGGAAGAGAAACGAGCATGGGTGGATTCACATGTCAGTGCAGATTTGAAATTCATTTTCAATGAGTGTGGTCTGGATGGCGACTTGCAGTATGATGTATCACAATTTTACAAGACGACCATGCGTTTTGGGGCCATCGCTGACAGTCGAGGAGGCTTGAGAGAAGCTATGCAGCAAGAGTCTCAGGTGGCCGTGGATACTCCTGCTGGCCGAGCCCGGATGTCAGCGGCTGTTTCGGCATGGGAGACAGCAAAGCAGGTATCAGACGAGGACATCAAGCTGCTCACAGAGTCGAAGAACCTGGGAATTTGCAGACCTCTTCCACAATCGGACCGATCAGCAATGATTCGTGCGTTAGAAGTGGCCCGAGGGAGGAGTTGCCTGACCAAGAGACTCCCTCCAACGAGTACCTATCACAGCTTCTGCATGAAGGGACTGAAGTGCGACGGTCGATGCAAACGTTTGCATGTTTGTCGTGTGCAGAATTGCCACAAAGCCCATCCTGCATTCTTGCATGATTCCAAGGCCCCATCCCCAGAGGGGGGCGACTGACAGTTGACCGAGCTCCAGGATCTCCGGGTGGTTTACATTTTTGCAGGCCACTCGCGGAGATCCGACATCAAGTTTCACCTGGATGTCAAAGCACAGTCTTTTGGTTTTCAGTTGCATATGCTGGAATTTGACACCCTGAGGAATCCCCTG